ATGATAGGAGATGTGGGGCGAGAAAAGCCTGGTCAAAGGGGCGAGTGCTTTATGACGCAATTTTCTTCAGACTATACCTCAATAAAAGTACATTTGAACGGAATACGTTGCTTTTCGACCTTGTTTGGAACCTGGCTTCGCATTCGACATTTCCCGGTTGTGAAACAGCCCATGATTCAAACTTGAACTTGAATGAGATACTCTAGGAGGATTGGCACTCTTCTCCGGCGCAGAAGTGCCACGGAATTATAGTGAATCGGATAACTGACTCGTCCCAAGGGTTTCCCGCAGCAAGTCGGTGACGTTTCGAGCCACTTCCGTGTCGTTCGGGGCAAAGAGGAGGAGCTTCGATCCCCAGATAGGCCAGAACCCTTGAAGGAAATCTCGTTCAGTAATCACTGGATTGGTCGGCGGCTTCGTGGAATCATTGATGTTAACATGGAAATACAGGCCGGGAAGGGGGAAGAGGATCAGGATGACGACCTCCAATCCAGTCAGCAGCGGATGTCTCCATCGCAACAACAGGTTCTTCCACACGAGTAAGACGAACTTCCTGGCGACCCCGGTCATATCGAGGAATCTGCTGAAAGGATGACTCTACTCATTTCGAGTGACCATGATAAACTCTGGAACGGCTTACCATGTCCCTTTCGAGTGCACTCTTCGATCAAGAGTGAAATGAATGAACATCGACGGAGAACTTTTGAAATCAAGAGGAACAGATAAGTCGGACGCGGGAATCCGATTGATTTTACCAAAAATAGGCATTTTTTTGTTCTGTGGACGAGGTTCGAACAAGCAACACATTTTGTATCCACTAGTAGAGTTTCTTAAAACAAAAAAGTCCAGGAATCTGTAGTGGATTCGTGGACAGAGAACCAAGTTTAATATAAAGAATAAGTATATTGAGGGTCTGGTATGAGGGGGATATGACCACAGAGAATTATGTCATGACATGAAGGTGCCGAGAGGTACGAGCGAGATGGATTTGCTCTTCGAAGGACGTAAGCGCAATATTTATTACGAAGTTATGCAGTAGCACATGAGAAAAAGAAAGTGAAAGCTCCAGGACGGTGTGTAATTCCGTCGCGAAACGCGCAGTTACATCTGGATACATAGGGAGCGCTGCATTGGTCTTGGAAAAAAAAATTGATAGATTTCCACAAGAGAATTTCCGGGCATTTTATAATATTACCTCGTCTCATATTACTCATATTCATGATATTAACCTGGCTTCATTCGAATTCAATGTTTCTTTTTTTCTCCTGATGCACCAGAACTGTCATGAATGGAAAAATACTCTTTTTTCACAATTCCTCTCTTCGTCAAGAACATTGTCAGATTTATAAGTTCTCCGGAAGAACAATTGCTCTTTAGGATATGTATCCCTATTGGAACTTTTCTTTCGTGTCATTATATAAAATTTCAGCATGTAAGGCAGCAGTAGCTATTAATAAAAGAAATGGGGTCGTTCAAAATAACCATATCCCATGTGGTTTCCCAGGAATTCCATTTAGATATGACAACTTAAATTTTGAACACCAACAGTTAAAAAACACGTTCCCCCTTGGTTCCTCTTCTTCATTCCGCAAACTCCCTACAGACGATCGTTTTAGTTAGATTGCTCCACACGAGTATTTTAAGAATCCTTTCGTAATTGAGGCAGAGAACACGGAGGCTTTCTTTTTGGCCGATTTCCGCAATTTGTGAATTCGGAGCGAAGCACTTTCTTCTGGCTACGCGTCTCATATTCCTTCGTGCATGTGCGTAAGACAGTGCAAAATATATCTGAACAGAATTTGCTGCAGGTTTCCTCGATGCGTAAGTCATCATTGTTCTCATCTTCTGCATCCGTTAACTCATCAACATTGCGGATTTTCACCAGTTTCGGTTCAAAGTCTTTGTCATCATAAGCGTTTGTCGCACGGTAATTACCTACATTCCTCATCCTCGCTGAGGCGATGAAGATGGAATGGAAACTGATCTAAAACATGGATCCAGAAGCCCTGACTTCCCCTGACCCCTTCCACATCAAAAATACCTAATCAGGACTTGCTACCCTGTGAATGACTTTGTCATGGCTTACTGTTTTGTCTATCAGGTGATTCTATCTTCCTTTATATCTCGAGATAAAAGCTCTGCACGCTAAAGGTGACTGCACAATATATTTTTTTTTAAGTGAGTTTAGGGTGTGTGATGGTTGGAAAATGATTGTGCATGCATTTGGAGGTGTTTTCTAACGCGTTCATTTCCTCCCCGGGAGGCTCGCATAGCACTCCTAAGGGTGTGCAGGCTCTCCCTCCTAATAAGTGGGTCCATGTGAGCACCGTCGGGGTTTCCAATACTCCTTTCAACTGAAAGAAAGGGGTCATCCTCACCACTGCCGGAGGGGTGACCCACTTTGGCTAATTTTCACCCCAGGGGGTGCTATGGCTCAGTTACAAAAACACTGTTGGATTAAGGTTTCAGGAGCCCCGAGGCAGAACACGCACCACCCTTCGCCCAATCTTGCGAAGAACGATGTAACTGAAAATGAAATCCTCCCAAGCTGCATGTTTACTGAACATATCAATTTTTTGCAAACAATGTAAATTTATTGCGATAACCATGAAAATGACATCACGTTTACGTAAAATTTACGTTCCTATATTTACGTCACCAAAGTGTACGCNCGTTTACGTAAAATTTACGTTCCTATATTTACGTCACCAAAGTGTACGCGTATTTTACATAAACTAGACATCACTCCATCTGACACGAAGTACATGATATCAAATTCATGCAAAGATAACATCAACACTTTCCGTATGAAACTTTAGTCGACCATCACGCAGTTGTAATACTAGAATTCCTCACTAGATGGAACCATTGTTTCCTGCACCCTACATATGCTACTAAGTACTGTCTTTCTCGATATAGTTTCAGGTTTTCTTAACACCCGTCCACTTTTTATTATGCAATCCATAAATATATATATGGAAAGCAGGAAATCATTGCATATTTTTAATAATATATCCCAAGCAGCATGTTTCTATTAATTTTATATAAATTGAATGTAAATTTTTTGTCCATTTTATATCTATTTCACGCAAACCATCATGAAGATTTTGTCAACATGTTTGCAGAAATGTCACCTCTGGAATACGTAAACGGTGATATAAAATTAACGTAAATTTTACGTAAAATTGACCTTCCCGTTAACATCCCCAACAGCATGTTTACATTCATTTTACTTAAAATTGATGTTAATTTTCCTCTAAAATGCATGTGTGTTTAAAGACCTAATTCGTACTTTTGAAGGGAATTGATAGACTGTATTTCTCCCATCCCTTTCCACACTTTAGAACTCAAGGTTACTTGGACGAGTACGAGTACAAATGTACTCATCTTACCAGCATTCAAGAGTACCAAGATGACTCACTAGTTCCTCCTCCCGTAAAAGGACCTAGAGAGGAGGAATTCATGTTTAGAGTTCTCTTCGATCTAATATACAGTAGCGCACAAAAGTGTTAGCACGATGTGTTTTTTCGGCGTAAATCAACTGAACGCTGAGAAAAAAAAGGCGTTCCGACTGGAACACAACATGCGAGACTGTTTCAAACTGATCTTCGTAGTTTGAACACAAAGAGATCGTTTTGTTTTTTAATTATTTTAAAATCTATTTTCTATTGGCGCCAACTGTGCACCTGTAATACACGGTCTGGCAATAAAGTTCCCAGACTGATTTTTTTCTGAGTCTGTCAATATCACAAACATTATTTTCATTCCATGGACTGATAGATTATACTATTGGGCAGTGCTGTGTCAGTTCTCATCTGACGAGCACCTTGAATGAGAGTTTGGCTGGCAATGTAGCAACGCAGTGTGTAAGGCGTCTGTCACATTCCCAGCATGAAGCAATGCTTCATCACATTTCGTCTCAATCCGGGGAATACAGCTGTAGCGATCCATCAAAGTTTGCAAGAATTGTCTTGTCATACTCCAAGAATCTTGAATAGTTTTCAAGGCTTTCAGCCAGAAGAAATAACATTGAATATAATGATTGGTTCAGCCATCCCTAGGGTGAATGGTTGGTGATGGTTGGGGTTGAGGTGGATCTGAGTGTCTTCACTACTTGCTAAAGACCTTGAAGGTCATTTTAAATTATTCGAGCATAACAAGGAACTTTTCAAGACACTTCTGCAACATTCGATGGATTACTGCAGCTGTATTCCCCGGTTCGAGACAAAATGTGATGAAGCATTGCTTCACTCTGGGAATATGACAGACGCCGTTCACACTGCGTTGCTACATTGCCAGCCAAACTCTCATTCAAGGTGCTAGTCAGATGAGAACTGACACAGCACTGCCCAACAGTCTAATATATCTGTCCATGGAATGAAAATAATGTTTGTGATATTGACAGACTCACAAAAAAATAAGTCCGGGAGCTTTATTGCCAGACCTCGTATTACAGGTGCACAGTTGAAGCCAACAGAAAATAGATGAAAAAATAATTAAAAAATCAAAATGATCTCTGTGTTCAAACTACGAAGACCAGTTTGAAATAGTCTCACATGTTGTGTTCCAGTCGGAACGCTTTCTCTCAGCGTTCAGTTGATTTACGCCGAAAAGTCACATCGTGCTAATACTTTTGAGCGCTACTGTATATATTTAATCACCTAGAAATGGAATACATGAATTGAAGAAGTACAACTTACAGGCAGATGTTGTGAGGGCTCGCACAGGGCTGAAGGATGCAAGCTTGATGCCAACCTGATGGATCTTGAGGCTGAGAGCAGCTGCATGTAGAAACCCACACCCCTGCATCTCTCTGGACCTTTGATGCCTGTTTTTGAACAACAGTGGCAACAGGCCATCTCATGCTTCACCCATCCTTTTACCTAAGTAGGAAAAAGCTGAAAGGGGCTGGTTGGGTGAATTCACCCTGGGAACTCTGCATTGCTATTCCCACCCTTGCCAGATGTATGCAGAGTGAATGTGAAAAGGAAAGACTCACATAGCAGCAGGCATAAAAACATATTTATTGACTGGAATGTTTTTACATAAATCACAGAAGATAAATCTGTCAGAAATTCAGTAGCAATATTTTCCACAACCTTCTCAACACATGCATATGACAGCACACTGCATGATTGTCTTCTAGCAATATAACCACAGGCATAAAAGAAAACCCAAAGAGCATGCCATTCCACAGCAAACAGGAGGAAGTTAAGACACTATAGGTAAAAAATAAGGAAGAGTTCTACTCCAGCTAAAAAGTGATAATTGGGAACTAACAATTCTAAAATTGGTAGATAACAGCTCAGAGACCTGCTCCATGCTTGAGGTTGACCCATAAAATGATTTCACTGGATTTCCCCTTCACCATAGCTATTTATCACAGCTTCTAAAACTTAAACCCCAAGCATTCAGCTACAAAGTACCTGCATATCAGCTTATAAAAGAAACACAAGACTGCAATATTTTGGACTTCATCCATGCAACATTTTATTATCATATAAAAGTGAAGAGCTTATATTGCATACACAAAAAAATTAAATAATATCAAAAGTTTCATGGTAAGTCTGTCAAGATCTCCATGACATAACTGTAAAATTATCCATTCCTTCCTCCTGCCAGACATTGGGTGCAGGCAAGCAAGATTTCACATAATTACTTTCATCTCTATGAGTGGTCCTTGCTGCTAACTTCATGGGAAGCAACAATGGCAATTAAATTGCTAAGAATTTTGGGCAAATAGGTGGTGAAAGCTACATCCTGACTAATTCTCTACTTAGCATTATTAAGCCTTCATGCAAGATCCTTCCTAATTTCACAGACTGACACATGGGATTTACAGCATGGAGCATTTCATAATATAACAGGGAATTAGCCCAGCAAATTGACTCCAAATTTAAAAAAAGGACTATCATTGTGCTTCTTACAAGTCCTTGAGGTGTCCCCCCCAGCAAAATGTCTTTGTTTAATTCACAGGACCCTATAGTGCAGCGTGTTCTGTGTGCCTGGGAAACAGGTACAGAAATTTCAAACATTGTTTTGCCTCATTCTGAGGCAAACTGTCTGAATAAAGCATTGATATTTTGTACAACATGCTGGAAAATGGACTTCTCACTCTGCAGGTATTTTGTGCTGATAGCTGCTCTAGCTGATGACAGAGTGGAGTTCAAGGCATCTGCCAAATTAGACAGATATAGGCCTTGGGGAGAATGCTCGGGAGTTAAGTTTGATATGTGGCATCCTTGACCCAGCAAGCAACTTGATTATAATTTCCAAATTTCAACTGAAAGCTCTTTAAAATAATTAATGAAAGGATAGCTGTCAAGAAAAGACAACGAGGCACAATGATTATCAGTGATAATAAGGCCTGTTAGGGCTACTGGTAGGCCATGGACTATAGCATTTCATTGCAATTTCACAAAAAATCATCAATCCATCCATTGCCATGAAAAGGAAGTCACTTAATTGGAAGATGCTCACCAATTACTAACTATGATTCTTTCATTCTTTCACCCTCTGACTGAATGCAACTATTCAGAAAGAGTTGGCAACCTGAGAATCCCACACAGAATCATGATCCAGTGCCATGAATTTTAAAGGGCAAGGCAAAGAAAGGAAGAGGTATGCCCTTCATTGCTGGCCCTTGTTTTTCTTGAATATCTGAGAGAGATTTGCTCCTTTGGCCATAGCAGCCTTGTTCCCCAACATCTTCATCAAGTTCCCCCCAGGGGAACCATCTGAATCACTCCCAAAGAGGCTGGAAACTGAAGGTGGGACAAATGCCTTGCTTCTGGACTGAGAGGAAGGCCCTGATGTGGCTGGAGACACCCTCATCACTCCTGGAGAGCTGCAAAAGAGAAGTCCAACACATGCACATGCAGTTGACAAAGCAACAGACTTTACCTCAAGAGATCTTATGTAAAATTTTATTGATACAATAAAACAAAAAAAGTGCAGTGCACCTGGCAATGACTGAAGTGAGCTGTGGTGAGGAGCTAGAAGATGTAAAATTGGCATTCTTGGAAGACCGACATTCAATGTCCCGGATTAGCTCTAAGACGCTCTCCTCCTGCTCGGGGGAGACTGCATGCATATCAGCTTGAAGGCATCTGCATGGAAAATTCACGGTATGGGTGATGTGTTGCATCCACTTGCACCCCTGAGTTCTTTTGGTATGGAAGAAGCTATAAGAAGCTGACCGGAGTCCTGGCATGAGAGAGGAGAGTGTTGAAGTATCTCCAAGAAATGACCCACTGATAGAGGAAAATGCTTCGAGGAGAGCCTCTGCCACCTCCCTTCTCCGCACCAAGTTTGTAGATGCATTATTCTTTGCAGCCAATGCCAGGAGTCGTGGCAGGATCACTGACAGACATAAACAAGGTTGTTCACAGATCATAAAAAATTTCCAAGGTGAATTTCAGGTCATATCCTCTCCAGACTTCCTGGCATATATATAGGGTATTTAGCAAGGGAAGACATGGAGAGACAAAGCCTCAAGGCAGTGACATCTTAAATTAAATTTTAACCTTTACTCTGCACATTTTGCAACGAACAGAAATGCTGTAGAACTCTATCGCCATCGGCCAGGTCTACCATGCACCTATGGCGAATGAGTACTCTTTCTACAATTTACAGGGATGGAGACAAGTATAGTTGCCCACTGGTAATCTAGATATTATTGCCCTCCCTTTTCCTTGAAGTCCTCATTTTCTTAATCCTTTCAGGAGTATGCCTGTACATTTATGGGCTGACAATATTCTGTCCATATATTCACAAAGGGGATCTTGCAGGCATTAAAGAAACCCACTCCTCAAAGGGTTAATGCCAGAGAGGATTACATTTCAAACAAGACTTACACTTACGAGTCAAACTTTCAATTTTAATGCACGCATATCAACATGCCAAATATAGCTGACACCATATTTAATCAATCTATATTTGATATGTATATAGCCTTGAGTATAGGCCACCACAGTGAATACTTTGTGTTATTAACTTTCCTGACAGCCTTATTAATATAAAATGCACAAAATATGGCCTCCAATCTGAGTATTGAAGAGTATCTAAGCACAGAAAAATCGACAAGCCTGATTAGCTCATCAAGTAAGGAAAAATATTTTCCATTCATAATGAAGTAGCACATGATGAAAAGACTCACAACTATTCCTGAATTTGGGTTCAGCTTTGGTGGCACACCGGCCAAGGGTCTGTATCAAGGCAACCTGAATGCTGTAGTCATCCAAACTTGCAGCATCATTTGCAATGGACTGAAGCTGCAGGTACACTTTTTCAATGAGCTATAACAAAACGGGAACATGCATCAACCTTCTATTGGCTGATATTCAGGAGTATCTCTGGCTCTTGCCATATAGATGACCTTACATCATGTTGCAGAGTGTAGTCCAATATCAATCCCAGAGGGGCAATAGCTGTGACTCGAACAAATCTGCAAAAGTTTTCGCACATTCCATTCTCAAAGTGAAAAACAACAGACCAACAGCTAAAAAAACAAGGTGCCAGAGTAACAATACTCAAAATGCACAAGGGGGAATTAAATGAAAATGGGATATTCTCAGTAGTATAGATTCACCCCATGTTCTGCTTTCATTTGACTGCCCCTTGCATTTTCAATTCTGTTGAAGGCTCAGAATTGGACATAGGAACAAGATTCTTGAGGTTGGCTGAGGGGAAAGAATATTGTTTTCACTCTTCCCTCCCCCCCACTTGTAAACTGAGCCAAGTTGATGATGGGTGGGGGGCAAAGCCAACCGTTCTCCACCCATATTCATTTGTGGGAGAGGGGGGGGGGGGGAAGGACAGCTGTTGGTATGCCTATGCATAAGGGCATCATTAAAATGCACCAAATATATTTGCAAGAGCCACTGCAACTGTAACTGTGCAAAGAAAAAAATTTAGCTTGAATACTAGTAATGTGGTGAAAGTTCCAAAGAGAAATTCCTAAAGTTCATGCAGGGGTACCAAAATCAAGAAGCACAGTAGCACCTATTACCTTTCTTCAACCCCTTCCCATAGCAAAATTCAATCTCCTCATATTCCTCTCTGAGAGCATCAACAGGAACTAAATTTGGCATGCTTCTTCCTTTCTCAACACAGAATAGCTCCAGCAAATTTGAAGCTCCATCTCCCCAGGGTTGTGGAGATCACTGAATCTCATTTTTGAAAGTTGTGAATTTCAATTTTTTTTTTCTCCCCCCTGGGTAGCCATTCCTGGGGGTTGTCAGAAAAAAGACACCAGCCATAAGAAAGATACCGACTTGTAGATAATGAAAAGTGCCCCTTTGTTGATTGTGATGCCCCATTTTGCTGCAAAAAATGAAATTTGCTTTTTTTTTTGTTCAATTAGGCTTAGAGTGCTTGCTCCAGTCCTGTGCCAAAATTATGTTAGATTTGAGACTACTTCAACCATTGTATCAACGTCAAAATCTTTTGTTTTTTTTTATGTATGAGAGATTTTCAGACTGATTTAATGAGTTGAGCCGAGAATGAAGCGATGGTTAGCAGTGATTGATGTGGTGGGATATGGAAATATCTTATCTGGACATACTCAAATTAACAGTATGGCACAAACCATGGGTATCATGCTACCTGGAGGCACTCCCTCCCCAGACCTATTTGAAATGGTTCAAGGAACTCCAGATAGGCTGTTTTATATCCACAATGAAATGGTTCATGAAATGCAAACAAGCCTCAAATCGGTTTAACATTAAATATCCACTCTGAAACGGTTCATGAAAGTATGAAAAGGCCTGTGATTGGCCTAACATTGCACATCTTTGACAAAATATCTATAAGACCACAGATGCATCCTTATTGGCCAAATAGGCCCCATAAATCAAGAATTGAGTTTTTTATGAAAGAAAAAGGTAGGGCTTGGCTTGACATGAAGGCAGTCTGTTAGTTAATCCTAGGCCTAACATTAGTGAATCCCATAAAGAAGGGGGGAGGGGGATTTGAAGAAAGGGAATGTCATCGAAAATTGGTTTTCACTTTACTTTGTATATGCATGAGTCTGTTCAACTTCTTGTAACAACCACTTGAGTTCTGGTCCTTAGCAGCTGAGAAAAATGAGGTGTATGAGACTTTTGAAGACTGGAAGCCAGAAAGTGCTTAATGATATACTGTACCTTATTAACTGCTCCAACACCTAGAATGGACCCACAAATGTTTTCTACTGCAAATGAATGATGTAAGTGTGAAAGAGCAGGGACTACATGTCCATATGGACCCTGCTAAAGGACAAAGAGTACAATTACAGGTTCAGGGTACACAAAACAAGCATTACGGCTGTTACAGTTTCTTACTCTTATCCATCCAGAGTGAGGAAGATCTAATCCCATGTTATCCTAAACTGTGACAGCCTGACATAATGTGAAAAAAAGTTTACTATCAATGATCTCATTAGCACTTGTGAGATGGAAAGAGGACATACACATTGGAATCAGAGGCAAGTGTGACAAGGGCAGGTGAGACACGTGAGGACAGGAAGGCATCTCCAACATGTGGGATGATGGCAAGGAAGAGACTGCCTGCTGCAGCCTTGATGATGGGCGAAGAATGCATGACACCATTCCAAAGGATGGTCAAGAGGAGATCATGGGAAGAAGCATCCCAGCTGGCCATGTAATTCAGAGTCTGCACCATGGAATTCAAGCTGCAGTTGCTCAGGGACAGTACTGTCAAAGCTGTCTCCAGCACTTCCTTGCACAACATCTGCTCCTTGTCCTTTGTAAGTGAACAAATACCATGTGGCTAACTTTAAAATAATGAAAACCAGGACACTAAAATTGGGGAAATTTTTTTGATCTGAGTCACATTTTTCCAGCATTTGTTACATTCCAGTACCAGACAGTGATAGATATTAACTCTTTCAGTGCCAGAGTAGATTAAATTGATGCTATGAACTTCACTAAAAAAGTGTCAGAGCTGAGGAGATGGTACTGAAAGGGGTCTTTTGTTGAGCACTCAATTAAGCTTCTTCTCTAACTTCAACCCTTTTAGTACCAGCTCTTTGATTATGGCACTTAAATGAAATTTATAGCATTGATTTTCATTGAGTTTTGTGGCTGTGTCCCACAGCCACTTGAGATGGTCACCAGTTCCTTTCATGCTTTTCATTCTCATATGGTTTTGTTCAAAGCCACAGGCAAACATAGGTCAATTTTTGCAAAATTTATCAAAATAAAAACATTAATAAAAGAAAGGGATATGGGAACAAACCATTCATGCCTAAATCTCACCATCTTCTGCATATCAAGTTATACAGTACTCACCTCAAAGAATGTGAGGAGTACCCCAGCACAGAAAACAGGCAAAATCGGTTTGACATAGATAGGCTTTATTGATATATCATCCTCCTTTTTCTCCTCAGAGCCCTCTCCTTGTTTTTGGAACTTGAGTAGAGCCCATAATAGGGGTATCACCTGAAAACAAGGAATTCCTGACCCTTTTACAAACCATCAGATAAGTTGATGCATGGAAGAGAAGTCAAGGTGGTTACTTCACCTTTCCCACAAGGAAACTATGCCCAAAGACCAGTCCTAGCTCCCGGAATAGGAGAAGATAAGCCTCCAAAATGGTCTCGTGTACTTGGTCCATGGAGATCAAGAGATTCACAAGTTTCTTTAGCCTAGAGTGCATAAATCAACTGTATCAGCAAACAATGAGTAACTTTAAATCCCTAAATAAAAACACTCAGCATGATTTCCTCTCTTCCTCTAACCAACACAAATGCCAAGTCAGAGGAATCAAGGGAAATAAGTATCCTTGCATTAATGCCTCAATAAGTAGAGAGAGCTAATCATGCATCACTGCATGATCATTCAGAGCATGCATCACTGTAATTCCTTGACTATGAAAGCAGGCTCCAGGACATTGCAGTGTTGCCCTCCCTTGTTAAAGCACCATTTTCAGGGAAATTTAATTCCTTTTTTCTTGCCATTATATCATTTCAAAATTATTTCTGACAGAAACAGATTTACTTTACAGAGGAATGGGTTCATGTTTCTTCTAAATTACCTTCTCTTTTACTCCTGTGCATAAACTACTGGATGCCTCAGAGTCAGTGCATATGCTTCTTCCTATTTTTCCCAACAATAAAGCCATAGTTCCAGTTCCACTTTCAAGTTATAATAAAATCAAAGAACTACAGCTGTTAATTCAATTACCTCAATTCCTCAATTTTCATCAATAGTCCTTTCAATCTTAAAAAATTATCAATATCAGTGTCATGTTATGACAAGTGCAACCAGAAAGGCAAGTCTATTTTTAAAGGAGAATTGTGGTTGTGACTTGTGAATCCAAAGCAGCACAAAACTGGAGAAAGAAACAATACCAGAGTGGGTCATCTTAGCCATAAACTGCTTTTCTTCCCAGTCATTTCATGGGTTTTTAAAAGACTAGCATTCAATAATGCAAAGGGAGAAGACTCACAAGCTGATTTCCACCCAGTCCATCACAGGCCAAGTTGGGAACCACTCAGGCTCAATGAAGACCTCATACTTCCGCACCTTGTCCATGAAGACTTCCTTATCATGGACTATCACCAATACATCATGCAGAGACTGACTGCTGAGTCCACTTGTGAATCGATCCACTACATCAAGGAGAAAAGAAAATTTGATGTCAATAAAATTTTAAAGATTTTCTTCTAACAAAATGGTTTTATTAATGAAATTCTTGTGACTCTAGCTGGCAATCGCATTTCATTATAACAAAACCGAAATAACTGCAAGAATTTTGCTAGATGGGGTATTTGCAGCAGTAGGGGGGTCATATATATGTGCTTTAATGCACTCAATCCATTCTTTTCTTTTACCATGCTGACAGTTTTATAATACCTAATGGGATTTAAGGGAGTCCAAAGGGTATCTGAAGAAGAGAATTATCACAATTACCATATTCATCAATTTTATATTCTCCATCACTTCTAATTCTACTAGCAACATCTCTACCTGTATTCCTGCTATACCAAAGCTTGTCTAGCTGACAAGCAAGACATAGGGAAGTACAGATATGAAATTCCCTAGTTTTCATAGAATTTACTTTATCTTCCCCCTCTAGACAGAGGAAGAATTAGTTAAAGCTAGCAACTCTTCTGCAAGGAAACACCAAAATTCTTTCATACTACCAGAACTTCCATTAATTCCTTATCATACAATATGGGTGCCAATGATTATTTGACCAGATAATGTCAAGGATTTCAATATAACCTACTATCTGTTGTATACAATGCCATAATGAAATTTGACTGCAGTGAGTTCATAAATGGTTTACATGGAATGGCAGTATCTGCAGGTACTTCCACATCTTCGAAAGGCCCTGATTCAACAAGTTCCACAAAGATGAATGGAAGACAAGATTTCAGAGCCAGCACTGTCCCAGCAATCCTCTCTTGCTGTTTCCGCTTTTCAGTTTTTATTCTGTTCATTTCCTGAAACCACAAAAAAGGCAAACCCCTATTGAATTCATTTCTTCATAAGGAATCATGAAAAAGGTAAGGCTAGGAGGTCATGGACTCACTCTCATTTGATTATCCAAGGAATCTAGAAGCCAAGGCAGGAGATGAGACCGAAGATTCCCTAACTCTAATGCCCAGTTGGCAAGAGATGGAAGGAGACAATTTTGAGCCGCTACTGTCACATTCTCGTTCTGGTCATGTGCACTTTTCAGCATCAGCTCATAAAACTAAGAATATAAAAATCGCTATAATGACTAGCAAAGATCATGAGCCACAAGACATAAATGCAGAAAAAACCATGTACCAGTCTAAACTTGTCTGGATCATCCAGGTATGTGGAAAGGAGGGCAAGAGATTTTACTGTGGACTCCCGCACCTGTTCAGATGAGTCATCCAGCATCTGCTGCAGCATGGACAGCAGCAGGGAATTCCTTATCTTACCCTACAACAGTCAGAACATGTCTCACAATGGCAATCAAGCATGTTTAGTTAGTCTATTATTATAAAAATTAGCCAAATTGCTTACAGGTACATGAGGCGAGAGAATGCCACAACATTCAGCAACCAGGAGACGGCGTTCCACAAACTTGTCATTGATCTGCTCCCAGCACTGTGGAAGGATTTCGGCCTCGATCCGACTAGCATCAGAATACTGCGCGATGGCAGCCATGCCTGCAACAGAACCATTTCTACAGATGATCTCTTGTAGGAAGTGTGACCATATTAATTTGTTTCTTCTGCTTCATGAGAGACACACCTGTTGGTCAGATGCAGGTGATTGTCTCAACAACAAAAAAAGCCTACCACTGAATACTTACTCCTGATCCCCAAAGAATGCAATACAACTGCTCATTGCAAGCAAGGTTATATTCCCTCATCATTATAGTCACTTTTCCCCAGAGCCAGTGTACAAAACTAATGGTAGACACCTCATTATGTCACTTTAAATGAATGTCTACCAGGTTAGTCAAATAACAGAGTAATTCATTCCAGATAGAAAATTATACTTCCTATTTTCAACAGATAAATGGTCTCAACTGACCCAATAGATTGCAAAAAAAGAATATTACCACTGATAATCATGCGTCTCTGTTCTTCACTAGGCCGTTTGATGAGGTTGAACATGATGTTGAGGAGTCTGTCTCTGTCATCAGAACGTGGATGAAGTATCACAGCACACAACAATAAAGGCAAGAGCTCCTATCAAAGAAATACACCATCAAATGATAGCAGCACAAAATCAAATGAGAGGAGTTAAACAATGGTATAATATAAAGTGAATTTGCATGAACATTAAATGTATGTTTACCTCTCTTTTGGCAAGGAGGACATTGGGAACAATATTAGGAAGACATCGTGCTAGCAAGAGCACCAACTGTTCGGGGGACCGAGCCACATTTTCCACTTCTTCCAGCAGCTGGAAGGAATTCCCTGAGGGTCTTAGCCTGGAACAGCACTGACTCCACAAGGCCTTTTGGAAAGCAGGACAAATTCTTCTGGAAACAAAAAAAGACAGCCATGAGCAACTTATTCAAAGAAGGAAAAAAATGGATCTCATGATTCAGGATTCATCTGGTTCATAATTAATCAATTTCATAATAATACCCCATGAAGAAGATAGTCTCAATGCAGCTTAATCAAAATCTTTAAAATAAAATAAAATAAAAATAAACTGTCAAGAAATAATAAGATGCTGAAACAATCTTGAACATAAGGACTAATCGCAACTTTCACCATGATCTGAATTGATCTAACCTTGTGCTCTCTGCTGGAGTGAAATCCACATGGGTTGGAGGTTCAACAGGTTCAACAGACCTGAGTCTTGACACTTCCCCAGTGACTGTGACCTCCACAGCCAGGGAATTGTCTGTCTCAGCAGGTTGGGGACAGGAAACAGACAGGCCAGTAGATATACCCTGCTCTGTCACCTGGGAGGCAGCCTCCATGTGTTCGGAGATGTCAAAACCACCTGACACATTTAAGGGCTCATCAGTGACCAACTTGGGAGCAGGTTCTGACTGCCCATATTCCCTGCTCTTCCTAGGAGTCAGGTTGGGTGTAATGTTTGGAGTTGAAGTAGCTGGCACAGAATTGTGTGTCAACTGGTTCTTGATCAGCTCCCTATTTGAGAACATCAAAAAGGATACAGAAATTAAGTTTCTTAAGCAATAAAAATATTATTTGCATGTCTTGGCTTAATGTACTCTAGGCTGGCACCATGCTATAATCAGAGCAAAAGTGTGGGCTATGATCTTTGCAATTACAAAGTCTTACTTGTATTATATCTGGACAATTCCATAGACTTAAATCAAATATGAACTGAAGTCTCAAGAGCACATCTCAACTCACTTTTCCATATTCCTGAGTTGTACATTGAGGAAATCTCTCTCCTCAGTAAGGGCAGCCAGCTTTTCCTTCATGCGTAGCATATTTGTGTCCTGAGGAGATGCAAAATTATACCATTTTTAGCACATAGGGTGCCAGGAGGATCAGCATTGATACTCAACAGTATCAATTGAAGCAATGCATGGCAGCCAATGAGTTGAAGTAAAAACTACTTTGGTGAAGATAACAATTCTGAATCACCATTTTCTGCACACCCTCATCATCCTCCAGAGCAACCTGGCAGGAAGAATCCTTCTTCTGGACCCCAACATGGGAAAACTCTGTCTGGCTTGAAGACTCTGAGAGCCCTAGGTTGTAGGCAGTTGTACGATAGTCTCGGTAAAGGACAACCAGCTCTGGAGGTTGAGGTACATTCAGTCCAACATCATCCCAATCTTCGAAATCCTTTTAGAAAAATAGCAAAGCATTCAAAGGTAGCAATATCATTGATACAGCAATATAGAATCATTAGAAACTTTGGGAAATATTGGAAAGCATACAAAACTGCTCGATTTTATCATAAATATCACAATTTAATTGTCTTCTATTTTTTTCTCATATTCTCTTCCAGGAACATAATCGTAATGTCAGCATTTCAGATGAGAAATTCTCCCTCTTTTCACCTCAACTTCAGGAGGCTTAACCCATTGGATCCTAACAACAAGTCTGACTCGTGGCTATAGCGAAGTGCCAAACAGCTACATCACAGATGTGGATTGCTGTTTTAAGAAGGACTGAAGGGATTAATTGCCACAACTTGCAATTTGCACTGTGATTGAAGCCTCTAGTGTAGGCATTCCAGGAAAAGCTGGTATCATTTGAAAACAAATTCCCTTCTTCCATGAGTATCACATTTTTAAGGTGAAATTACAGCCTTACAATTTGCCTAAGGAAAAATACATTGAGGCCCAAGAAATTCCTAATTTAATATGTCTCCAGACAAAGTATCACACAAGATGTAAATTTCAATCAAATTAGACCTTAACCCTACATGTACCAGAGTTTCAGATCTAAAACCTGAAATGACACCATATAGCTACAGTGAACCTCCAACATCAACTAAATACCAATAAATTTTTAAAAAAGCAGAAAGAAAGTCTTACCTCTTCCTTAACCCTAGAAACAGCAACTGCCAATCAATTGTTCATCCATCACAGGGTTTAACCATGCTGCTTCTAGGGTTAAAGAAGGAGGTAAGAGCTACAAGCTGTTGAACCCCAAAGGGAGTTGGCAGACAAGTTAAAACCTAAAATTATTTACCTGATCATCATTTTCATCAGAAAATGTGTTGGCAGTGAGCTTATAATTACTCCTCAGGAGATACTCATTGACCAGAAAGTTGATTGCTCGTTTCTCATATGGCTTGATTGGAGATGCCTCTCCACATCTCTCTGCTGGTTGGGAATTGACATCTGAAAATAAAATAAGTACTTCCTTATAATGTTCCTTCACTGTCAGTGAGTTCAGAACTGCATCAAATAGTACTGTTTTAAAGCAGAAATGAAGAGAGGAGGAAAGAAATTGCCTGCTGTTTGTGTGAGAGATTCACGAAGAGATTTGATTGTTTCTCTTGCTTTCCTGAGTTCAAACTCTAAAAGCGCAACTTGCTCATCATTGCTTGTCTCTCCTTCTTCAGAAAGTGGGTAGTCCAAAGAATCCACTGTCTGTTGACTTGAGGTTCTTCTTTCTGCAAAAGAAGAGAATCAAAAGATTTCAGCAAGAAATTAGAGAGGCACATGCATGGAGGTAAACAGCAATGTTGAATAGCAAATAAAAAATATAGATTTCTCACTTAGGCCCACTGGAGAGTCCTTTGATGCAGTGGGTCGCTCAAAATTTCCAGGATTGGAAAAATAGTCTCTCAATCTCCCAATCTCCCTCCCACTTTCCACCACTTCCGTGTGGAGTTCCAGAGCCGTAAGGAGAAGGTTCTCTTCAAGTAGCTTTTCTGCGATCTGATCAAATGAAAGCTCAACCTTCCTTTCCTGCTTTTCCACAGGCCCACTGTTAGTTTCCATCTCTGCCTTGCCGCCAGATTTGACTGACACCCCAGCTTCCATATTAAACTAGACAGAGACAGACACATTGAGGTGCAAGGCATTAACATCACCAACAACTACAAGGTGCACAGGAAAGGAGATTCTCCAGGCAACTAGTGCTATTTTCTATATTTGTGAATACCATTCTAGTATAAGATCAGTTAGAGAACTCAGAATGCAGACAATTTCTTCCTGTTTAATTTGGTTATCTCCAATAAATGATTTCATATGGAGTACCTGATCAGAGAAAATGGTAACTTTTATTTTGTTTACCAATGTGCAAAATAGCTCAAACAATTTCATCACTACAGAATTGCATCTTCTAAGAGCACAATCAAGAGACTGATGGATATTCCATGAAACTGATTTCAAGGAAAATGCAAACCTGCAAAAAGCAGGTGACAGATTCTGGAAGAGGTCAACCTACTCTTGGTGAGCACATGTAAGGTAACTGCAAGCTTCTGCCAGTCTCCATCAATATGTGATTTCCTTTTTGAAAATGATGAGCTGCTTTTGACAGGTTTCATACTGAACCAGTTTTGGGGGAACTCCTTAAGTAGCCTATGGAAACTCCTTTAGAAACTCCCTTTCCTCTCTTTCATTTGTCAATCAAAACTCCATGCAACTCTTTGAAAACTGTCCTTTACATTATGGGGAACATGGAAAAAATCATCAGCATCTCAGTGTCCTTAACACCCTGTACCTTACAAGTAAAGGAAATGAAAACTTGCTTAGATCAGTTAACTAGCTACAGCCCAAGTTTGGCTGCATGTAGGCCTGTTCTAAGGCCTACAGCATTACACTACTTCAGACATTTAGGAAAAAATATTTGTTTATTTAGGCCTATCAAAAGATTTTAAACAAGAGCTTTCGATAAAATGAGAAGTTCATGAAGTGAAAACATGAATGAAAAAAAAACAGCACATTCAGGTATATGTACTTTCCCTGTGGATCTCAGGGGATCAACTAATTGAGGCTCACTGCTTACCAAAGAGCTCATTTGGAAGCTTATTCAACAGCAGCTCTTTAAAAGCTTGGGTCAAGTTGCAGGAATTCCTTCCTGGTCGGGCAAATGTCATGTTACGTAACTAAGCTAAGCTACGTATCAAGAACAAAGCTATCATAGGCCAGTTCCTCATAGCATAGACCCTCGCTAATAAGTTTCCAGCCATACGTGTATCCACTTCTGGAAATGCCACTAACGTCTGTCCGTCTGTACCACGAAGTTAGCAAGTGGGGGAATGAAATGAGAGAGAGGTGGCGGTGGAAGTCCCTGGAGAAGGGGGGGGGAGTGATTAGGACTTCTCCAGAGTACTCCTGGAGTACTTTCCTGGAGAAATAAGCATTAAACAACCTTCGTTTAAACTGTCTACGTAGAAACGTCGAGCATCCTACGGAAAGCACCTGTACAAAAACATGAAAAATATAGTCATAAACAGACCACGATGGCCCAGAGCTAGAGACCTGCACCGGTTGCGGGCCGGCCCGATTGCCACGACCCGCGTGCGGCTTGGGGACTAACTTTTCTTGATTTCTTCGAGGCTCGGATGAGGCTGAGTGCAATTATATTTTATTCGAGTGCTGGTAAGAGGCCATGCACAGTCAGCATTTAGTTTAACTTTGTAGGACTTGAGAATGTGAATAGTTTACCTGTTTACTATAAAACAGGAAAGATAAATGGAAAAAGTAGTCACTCCGGCGGGCTATTGGATGGAGCCTGCGCTACAAAGACCAGAAGTTGCTTGGAATTATCTCAAACAAGGCAGTTTCCTTTCACGAACACACAATGGAAATACCTGTATCTACGTGTGCCCAGAGATAAGGCATACTGGCATTGGCACGGGCTTGAGGTTCTGAGCTTTGTGCTCACTTCAACTTAATGAAGAGGACTGCGTGCTTCATTCTTTTTCCCTATGATCAGGCTCATCAGTTTAGTTGGCAAGGGAGCTTTTGGTGGAGTCCCGAAAAGCCTGACCTGAACAGACTCTACTCGAAACTGCCACTTTCATCTCCGCTGACCCATGACTGTTGACGGACAAGGTTGCTTCTCCGACAGGTCCATTTCAAAACACTGAATACGATCCTAGAGGATTTCCCTGGACCAACTGCGGGAGGGCTCCTTCGAGTAATTTTTTTTTCAATGCCTAGTTCTTAAATTCCGAAGTGAAACGTGACTGAAAAACAGGTGATTATTACACTCACCTTCGCAGGTACCAGGTCGAGTCGAAGATCCCTAACCATGGACCTGCCCACTTCCCCATCACAATGGTAGCACGTGGTCTGCCTCGTGCAGTAAATTGTCTGATGCTTCTTCCGGCCTAGCCTATTTTTGGGGGAAGCTGAGACGAAAAGAGCATAATGATTCGGTAGGCCTATGCCATTGCAAGTATTACAGCGCATAAAATGGCAAGTTTTCAGAAGCGGAGGATCCAGTCCTCTTCCATCCAGGGTACAAAGCCATCTCCCTTGAATGCTCAGGTCATCACTTCTTCTGGAACACCTTCCATGGATTTTTTCATCGGTAGGCAGATTTTTGGATTTGGAATTAAATGTTATGGATGGGATGCACTTTAAAGTAATTTTCCCCTCTATTTTGCAACAGGAGGTGGACTTTCTGTCGGCTCTCTACTGCTGCTTGGTAGGTTCACAGCATATACTGAAGCGTTGAACTAAAGAAACATTGTTCTTGTGGTCTAATAATATGGGTATGATAAGGCTATGCCTAGGCCTAAGTTAGCCTTTTTTTCTACAGGATGTATCAGTGAAGACTGACATGTGAAATTTACAAGAGAAACTTATTTGCTGGTCATTCTTTTTTTTTTTTTTAGTCAATATTCTCCAAGGTTTGAAGTTTTATCTGCCATGGGTACGTTGAAAGTAGCTTATTGTACAATGATTATGGAACTGTTTTTCACAAAATTCTTTGTGTTGATATAGTGCTTGCTCCAACTATCTGCAAGAGATGACAAACTGACCTGGATTAACCTGGGCAAACTGCTCTGAATTATCATTGCAACTGCTGCCTTGGTTTCTGTGTTCATGCTGTTCACTTCCATCTTAGTCATCACCCACAGATTCTGAATCAGGAAAATTTTTCATGTACTGCAATATTGTGTTGTGAGATGGCATATCTCTATTGAAATGCATCTTGTGTTTGCACAATGGAGCCTTCTGCAGAAAAGTTCCACAAACCTGATGCAATAAGCTACTTCCCATTTTTCTATGGCAAATAAACTCCAACCTTGCAGAATAATAACCAACGACAACAAAAAATATTGAGAATGATCAGCAAACAAATTTTTCTCTAAATTTCAAATGTGTCAGTCCTCTATGATACAACCTATATTTTGGAATTGTTCTGAATTTATGTTTAGCTCTACATGTTTAGAGGGATTGTTTATTTTATTATGGTGCATAATATAATTTTAAACTACACTAAGCTGGAATGAAATATTATTGGCTCAGGGTTGCCTGTAATGTGTATAATTTAGATACCATTCTTGATTGATTCCTTTGGTTTTTGGTTATGAACAATTGGGCATTCATACCTATCTTAGAATCAGCTTTCAGATGATTCAGAACTGTCCATGAAAATTTCAAGGGATTCATGTATTGGCTGAATGAATGAAAAATAATAATGCTTACATGTAATGTACATGAGCACCACCCCATGAATTCATCATTAGTTATACCTTCTAATTGTAGAGAGTGGAAGGGAAGCAAGTCATGTGCTGCCTTTGGAAGCCATGAGACTACTGGATCCTGCATGCATCTTTTTGGCATGATTCTAAGATTTTTATTCCCCTCATCTAGCAGAAAGCAGAATATTCCTGCCTGTGCTTAAGAAACTAAGTTAATGTTTAGCAGATTATTTGCTTGCCTCTTCTTTGACAAGCAAATGCTAATTTTTGCTGTATTGGGTGGAGGGAAAGACATGTGGAGTGAGGTCAGTCTATTTCTAATAACTTCTTTCAATTTTGCCCATCCATGCAGAAGGAGATTCCCATGGCAGCTATGCCCGGGTTCTTCTCAAGTATTTCCTCTCTGAGGGTGTCATACACGGACATTCCATTTTCCTTGGGACAGTGGACCAATCTCCTGAGACTCTGGTAAGTTTCCTAGTCAAACTATCACATCCCTTTGAATCTGTGAACTTTTATATATTTAAATTAGTCATCACAGATTTACCTTCTTCACAGTTCTATGTGAGGAGCCTTTCACTCCCTACAAAGTTCATTTCCTTAATGTGTAATTTATCTGGGAATTCACTAGAAAATTTTCTGCAGGTGATAGCTGTCACAATAATCAGTGCTAAATGTGAAAGCTGTTGTTCAGATATATTTCTTCCTACTTCTGGTTACTTCCTCATTTCCATATGGATTACAAATTTAATGCCTTGACCAAGTTATTTATTCTATAAATAACTAGTCTTAAATAGAAAGGGAGAAACAACTGCTTGGCAGTGAATATATACATGTGGGTGTGGCATTCATCACCACTCCAGTGCAGTGGTGTACACGATGGGCTCCAGCCCCCCTCCCCCGCCCTCCTCTCAGCCTTTGAGATTCCCCTCAGAACTGGTGTTTGGGAATGGGTGAATAAATGGCCATCACAGTTATGAGAAAAGAATTTATTGTGCCTCCCCCCTGCATATTACTCAGCTGCTATAACACTGAGCCTCCCTTTTCAAGAGATCTTGTGTACACAACTGTTCCAGTGTCTTGCAAATTGAAGTGCTTCATAATGTAATGATATTGCAGTTGGCTGAGATCCCTGGACCTATTGCTGAGCTGAAGCCAGATCAGGAAGATATTCCCATGGAAAAGCCAGGAGACATGAAAATAGCATGGAGATATGGAGATCTTCCTGCTGTGCAGACCAGCATTGGAGTGAATCGATTTGACCTAACCAAAAAAATGGATGCTAACCTTCTGAATTCTTGTAACTTGACATATTGGAATGGGTCAGCTGAACATGGTATTGGAAATGGTGAGTTCACCACCATCTGTGGTAAATTATGATTGAACCTATATTTGTGAAGAATCTCATTGCATGCAAGGCCAATTCATGCAGGACTTGTAACATGATATGGTTGGTTATGTTGCTGCTATGGTAACTTCCTGAAAGACTACTTTTAAGTTGTGTAATGTAGTTAACCTGTGTACAAGGATGTAAAGCAATGCCTTTATTTATATCAGGGATCATTGAGTTTTCTTGAATTTTTACATTCTTGTACACTTTTAGACCATGAAAAATGATTGTTTGAAAGCTCAGTGCAACTAAGAAGCAGAAAACAACTTCCACTACATTAGTATCATTCTGGAAGATGAATTTGCAAGCAATATTCCTTGCTCATTTGGAGAAGCATGCAGTTAATCATAATCTCCTGTGGGGACAGCCTTAGGTTTGTGCCACATGTACCCCCACGCAGGCACAAAGTCACCAAGGGGTGTCAAAACGTATCTGAATGTATGAACCAATAATGGATGCCACCCTCAGTTTTTCTTCAGAAAGTGGAAATGTCTTGCATTTTGGCATAATTTTGGAGACTAGGGATTGACTCTTCTTTCTGGGGGAGGGGATGTGGCATTGGGAGTCTCTTTTGCAAAAGGCACCAAAATAACTAGGGCCAGCCTTGATCTCCTACCTTTATTTCTTATGGTTGGATCATGGATGGCATTTATTTCATAAAGTTCTCGTTTTTCAGGGAGCCAGATCAACCCTCAATATGTATCACTGCTCAAAAATATACAAGAGGTCCTCAGTTCAAAAGATGGAAAGGTTTATAAGGCAACCAACCTGCATAGGATTGCCCTTTCTGAATTGGGTTCCCCACTCTTTGGAGAGGAGGGAGTGAGATGGAAACCAGATACCAATGTCAACAGTCTCCTCATCTTCCTTCATTCTCTTAAGTCTCTTCTCCGACTCTCATCTGCTGTTGCCTTTGTGACATTGCCTTCAGAGCTTCTGCAGGTATTATTTCCTACCATCTCAAAATATTTCAGCTATGCACAATCTGTACTTTCTAATGATTTGCAGAATAAGGGATTGGTGAAGCGCTGTGAGGGAATTGCTGATTTTGTGCTTCGCCTGGAGTCCTTTGTGGGGTCTGAGAAAGAAACTAATCCAGTCTTCAAGGACTTCCATGGGCTTTTCCACATTGTGAAGCTCCCAGTTCTTAATTCACTCACACATTTCATCCCTGATACCTTGGATCTTGCCTTCAAACTCAGAAGAAAAAAGTTTAGTATTGAGGTGAGTAGTTTCGCCAGAATTGAATAGGATGTTTGTCATACTAGATATCTTTCAAGAAGAAAAAACTCATATGGAATCCCTTGAGTTATTTGAAAGAGTGGGGACTAAAAAATACCTTTTGAAAAGTTCTGAAAAAAAAATTTTTTCTCTCTGCTTTTCTGTTCAAAGGCCCAAATGCACAAACCTCATTTAGGGGAGTTAATGAGGTCTTAAAGCTAAAGAGCTCTCTTTCCACCACATGAGTCCTTGTATTTTAAAAGGTCTGTTAACTGAAGGAGGTTTCAGCATCTGGGCCTTAATCACCAGGACCATTTGACAATAATCATTTGTGTTTATTGTAATTGGGAATTCACTTAAGATGAATGATACTTTAGGGCACTGTAGTGCTCAGTGCATACCAGCCTAATGTCACTATTCTTTCTGTGAATCTCTTGACAGAGGCTACACTTGCCACCCGAGTTGTCCGATACAGCAGCTCGACCCCAAGAAGACCCAGTGCCCAATTTGAAGGCTTCAGCAGGGTGCATGCCCACTGGAGGCCACATAAACTTGGACTTCTGACAGGAAGATTGTTGTGGCTGCTGTGATATGCATCAAACACTTTTTACAATTTTTGTGAAATTGAGGTTTTCTCAAAGAGAATTTTGGTCACTGTTGATCAATACATGCTGTCTTTGATTATATAATTCCTTCATTCCATGATGATTCCTTAATCTTCCTGTCATTGGTGTAACCTTTTTTGTAATGGAAGCCAACTGTACACTGGAAATGAGATTTATGCATCATGCTAATGCATGGTGCTAGTAGGGTGCTCCCAGGGTGTGCAGAAAGCAAATTTCTTCTTCCTGAAATTTACATCCACAAGTTGTTTGGCTTGCATGCTCCCTTATTATTACCAGTTTAAAATTTTTTCATGAAAGGAATTATTTCCATTTCAAATGGAAATCCTTGTTTCTTATCATCCATTTCACATGGTCGCTATTTGGTCATTCCCTGTCTAACAAATTTTTTTTTTTCTTCATTAGCAGGTAGCAGGTCACATGAAAGAGATGTAAGGTAAATGTTCTCAGTTTTGTCATTGTATTACTCTCAGCTAGCAAGCTATGAGGGAGGTTTGGTAGAGCTGCATCATCTAGATCCTGAACGTTGTTGCCACAGATGCATGGCGATAGAGCATCTATATGATGTACTCAGGAGGTGCCAAAATGCTCCTGGCAATTAATGGCACAGTTTGAGTGTGTTATTCAAGAGCAACAGGCACATCCTGGACCGAGACAAATGCTTGGCCTTTATATTCTTGTGTGGATGGAGTCCAATGGTGGACTCCCATAATTGCTACTTATTGTGTTCTTCAGTTACAATAGACATTTATAAAGACCTCAAAATTGCACTGCCGTTCTTGGCGGTGAAAATGTCGTTCTAACGATTCCAAGATGATGAGGACATAATTGAAGATGAATCCCTTGAAGGTCGCCGTTCAACTTGTTCCTACAGGTTGAAGGTCGAGCTTCACCTGTTGCGAACGGAAGTACGCACGTACAGTTGTAAGCACATCCTGAGTTTCTCCCACGCTTTTTCCCAGCTGAGCATTTGTCTTGCCCCCATGATTGTGTCGACGGGAAAATCTCTCTGCGAGACAAAAACATTCAGAGACGCGATTCGGGAGCCTACATCGTTGCAAAAAAAAAAATAGTTAACGATGGAAAAGCAGCGGGACGGATTTTTATTTCTTGCCCTTTCCAGACTCCTACAAGAGGACAAATTTCGCCACAAATCATTCTAGCATCATAGTCGGCCGAATCCCCAAGACTCGCAATCACAATCCCCACTTTCTCCTTCCTCTCCGAACCTAACGAAGAGGCCTCCCAAAGGCCTCCTCGCTCCCCGCCGTCGTCCATCCAGCGTCGACTGCTCGAGACGATCGCGAAGAGTCGCGGATCGTTTAATCGACTCTCGCCTTCATTATGTTTAAGAGCCACTATAGAGACGTCACTCTCGATGATGGCTTTCGGATCGACCATCATTCCATTGCGGCTGTGGAACGTTTCCCCTTCGCTCACCCTGCTCGATGAGACGTCGACGAAAACGACCGAGGAGTTTCGACGATTCGCTTCCGATTTCAGAGAAAATCCGATTCATCGTCACATGAAAGCTTTCTCCTCCTTGATTTTACTGGTTTTTTTTCGCTCTATTTTTTTTTCTCCTCTTCTTTCGCGGAAGTGGTCCATTCATCAAATTTTAAAATATATTCAGAAGGGAAAAAATAATAACGATTAAACGATCCAAGGGAAAATACAGAACTTCTGTTCTAGCCATTGCAAATCCTGCATGCCGATCATTAAATAGAGAATCTATGCTTTTAGATATCGATTATTGATTATTCCGTGTTGAAAATTACAAAAAAAATCGCGTGAAATTTGCATACAGCATATTATACTTGCATACAGTATGCATCTTTATTTACGCCCACCGAGAAATCGATCGTAGGACTGCGATACGTACTTCGAAGAGATCGTCGATACGACGACATCGCCGATATCGCAAAGAAAATGCGAAAAAAAAATCAGTGTAGAAATAGAAATCGCCTCGCTATCGAGTCCACCCGCAGCGAAATGTAAATCGGACTCCGCACGCGACTGGATCCCGAGAGTCTTCCCCCCATTCGTTTCCCGAGTAGAAGATGGGGACGAATGGCCTCTCGGGGGAAATCACTGGGAGACGTGATTCAGGTATGATTCATGCCCGCTCCTTTTCTCCCTTTCGCATCGGCAGCCGGGGGGAGAGCCACCCGGCGACGCCATCCCCGTTTCCTCCCGTGCAGCAGCGGCTGGGGGGAGCACCAGGGGGCGATGCCCGTCGGAGCGCCTCTTATTCGCGGATCGGGTGAGACGGATGAGGCCAGCTTGGCATTTCATCTCGACGTGCGAAGATTCGCCCGCTGCTTCTTGCGTCGATAACACGAAAGGCTTGAAATAAAATGCCTCACCCTCTCAGTCGCGAATTCTTTCCGATCGCTCTTGATAGTTCTGTCAGCCAGTCATCCCGACAGTGATTGCCGATAAGAACCGATATCGGCTGCCATCTCGTCGTGCGTAAACGTGGTTTTTGTGTCGGAAAAGGACCTTGAACCCCGGCGAAACGCCGCGACCGCCTTCCAGAACCAACTCAAAGCAAACATCTCGAAACCTCTTCATTACATCAGCACCCATCAGCCATTACATCAGCGGCCATCAGAAGCAATCAGAGACCCAGGAATTGACGTCCGTGCCCATGCAGTTCTCCTGCCAGCCGTGCCACGCCATGAAGCCTTCGTTGTCCCAGATGAACCGGGCGCAGCCCACGTCGTCCGTGATGTCGTCGTTCCTCAGATCTAGCGTCGGGCGAGAAAGCATTTTAAGCAAGGGCGTTAAGCGAAAGCATGTTTAGCGAAATTGCTAAACAGGGGATGGGAAAGGATCTTCTGGTTCGGTTTCTCCTCTGCGATCTCGTTCAACTGGATTACTCTTATGGATTTGCTTTGTTCTTTTGAGACTGACAGGGACTCTGAATGTCTAATTAAGTTAATTATGAAATTATAAAATGCTTTACATGACATGATGCTATGCAAAATATAAACTGCAAGAAAACAACATTATTGTAATGCTGCAATTTGTGTAATTTTTTTTAATTACTTAGTTAAAGAAACTTTAAGAGGATACAATTAAAGACACGACAATTAATAAGACGCGACGACCCCAACCCGAGCAAGCCCACCGTCACGGTCGACCCACCCCCCCGTCACAGTCGACCCAACCCACCCTCACAGGCGACGTCGCAGTCGGCGAAGTCGCCAGGCGGAAAGCACCAGAAGCCGTCGTAGATCGAGAAGAGGCCGTGGTCGTAGGACCCGCCGGAGCCGGGACCCTTCAACTGGGACGTGTTGTAGCCGCTCTCGTGGTAGATCAGGCACACCCCTGGAACGCGTAGGAGTCGGTTTTCGTGATGTTTATTCTTTTATTTACAGGTATTTATAGTTTCCCTTGTTTTTATTCATTTTATTATTTTTTTGCTTGCTTTTGTTTTTTATTCGCCGTTTCATTATTTTTTTTTTCTTCTCATTTCTCCTCTTGTCTTGGGCGAAGAGATGGCCGCGAATTTTCAGGTCGACCTTGGTTCTATGCCGTCGCCCGTTTTTTGAAATTTCCTGCAAACGTTCGCAACTTGCGATCCTGAAAAGCGAAACTAAAAGCGTCTGCCTTTGTCTCCCATTCGCCAGAAACGCAAAAAGTCCCAAGCACTCGGAAGTGCGAAGTTAGCGCGGTTCGATGCGGGAAGCGCCAAGAACACTCGTATCCAAACCCTTCCAGAACGTTCGAGCGATTCGCATCGACACGCCTGCTCTTTGACACGCCCCGTTCCGCGTTCCGGAACGCCTTCTTGAGACGGAACGCCGGACGAGGACTGCCATCGGGCCACGAGCCCCAAGTCGGCCTCGAACGCCGACACATTGCGCTTCTGTTTTCCCTCGCTGCCAGCGATTCTTGCGGATCCGGGGGTGCGATCCCACGCGATTCTTACCCTGGAATTCGGCGAGGCAGGGCTGTCGAGCCGGCCAGTCCATTTTGCCCAGCCCGCGAAGTCCTTTTCATCGAGTGGTTTCGGATCTGTGCCGCAAATCTTCAACCTATCCGCATTGAAAACTCGCTGCGAGATCTCTTGGGCAACCCCCGATCGCCCCTGAAGGGTTCCAACCGGCCCCCAACCCAATCCATTTTTTTTGGAGGGCTTTCATCCAGCTCTCAAATGACCAACCGATCCCAGAAAGCGATTTGGCTTCCACGCCGACCCCCCCCCCCCCCACACTCACTCACTCACAGTTGCCGAGAGTCGACCGGATGAACCCATGCTCGTAATAGAGTTCCCTCGCCAACTCGCACCTCTCGTACACGTAGCCCCGCGCGGAGGGAAGGAGGAGGAGGAAGAGCCCGAACGGAATCGCCTGCATTTCGCCTCGTCTGCGGAGTCGCAATGCGGCGGTGAGAAAGCATCCGCGCCTCCACGGGGGAGGGCGGGACGTTCTCTGGCATCACTGGAGGCTTGGCATCACTGGCTGGCTGATGTCGTTGGGCCGAATGCTCATTTTTACATGCTGTGGTTCAGTGGCGTAGCAATAAATTTTGGGCCCCCCCGCAAAACTGAACTCTGCCCCCCCCCCCCTCAAAATAAAACTCATTTCCTCATGACAGGTTTGCTATTCACTGTATGAATGGAATAAAATCTGATATCGAAGCATGACGAATCAGTAAATATGGTTCGATTGGTCCTTTTTTGAAATGCATCGTATCCATAATGATAGAGAAAAATGGCGCACTTTTCATATCACGCAGTAGCTCTGTTTCCAAATTATTTGCAAGAAGCTCAATGAACTCGCTTTGGATTTAAGGACTCAGATAATTATTTTCCCACTAGGTCTGTGAAGAAGCTCCTTCATGTACTTGACGTTCGGCTGCTTCGTCAATTGTGCCATTCTGCTTCCATTGGACATAGGTCATGCAAATTGAGGGGTGTGCAACTGATTTAACATGGTCCTTAATTTTTTGCGAAAGTTCACGCCAGTCACGTATGCCCATAGATCAGGCAGAATGGTATTTTGAGTCCTTTCTGTCGGCAAACAGCCAACAGTGCTCACAGTAAACGGCGTCCGGTTTTCGGAAATAACAGTCAGGTTACTGGGATGGACAGCCCCAATTTCGCTGTGGTACTGTAATATGATTCTGAGAACGAGCAGTCTTGAATTTTATCCCTAGGGTAGGGCCCCTTCGATCGGCATGGTCATTGCTCCAGAACAAATCTCTCCTTCATCTGGGAGGTGACTACTGCACATCTGTTGGAAAGTTTCCTCTGTTTCCTAGGTTGGTTGTCTCTCGCGCGAAAGAGCACCGAACGAGTCTTTAGATGCAGCTGCAGGACCCAGGCAGCATGGCGCTGGCTCGCTTACATCCGCTGGAGTCACGTCGATTTCCAGTTCAGGAGCCTCTGTCCCGTTCGTGAAACGATGCTATAATCTTCCAAGGCGACTCTAGGATCGTCAGTAGCGTCCTCTTCCCCCAGGAGACTATTCTCAGTGGCTTCACCTTGCGATTCTTGGAGATCGGTTTCGAAAATAGCAGTATTATCAGAGCTTGAAGCTCCTCCAGCAAAAAAAAAAAAACTATCAATGTTCTTCACTTTTTGTAGCTCTCGATCTGCTTGCCGTCGTTTTTTCCTCTTTGGAGCACCACTAGTCTTGCTACTCATTACAAATAATCACAAGGGAGAAATAACTCAAAGTTTCTGTAATTTGCGGTCTATATAACTTTTGATAAGATGAACTCAACTACTGAATAATGGTGCTCACCACCGAAGTTAACAGCAAGTTACCCTTTTTTCCCGGTTACGACACTTATGTATGTTCATACAGAGTATGTCTGATAAAAGTGTGCACAAAGTTGTGATGGCCATTGGCCAAGCCTACGGCCTAGAATGGCATAGCCTTGTAGCCTCGCGCGTTAAGGCCTACAAGGCTTTTCTAGGCCATAGGCTTGGCCAATGCCCACCACAACTTTGTGCACACTTTTATCAGACATACTCTGTCCTTGCACGGCGCCAGCCAGGGTGCAGATCTTGCATCATATTAACTCGTAATGCTATGGCCTAACAATGGGAGAGTTGCCTTCTCCAAAGATAAGTTAACAAGTCTAAACTCGACTATGATGGGTTGATAATCCGACGGTATTGCAGGGGGGGTCCTGGCTGGAGTCAGCCAGCCCCCCCCCCCCATGGGCGATGACCATTTACTTCTTTATACTATTTTTTATCTTTTTGCATATTTTTGCTTACATTACGGAACATTTTACATGTTTGATGGGAATTTTGGGCCCCCACTGGGCCTGGCCCCGCCCCCCCGCAACTGCGGGGGCTGCTTGGGCGGTTGCTACGCCACTGTAATTAAGCGATAAACTTTGATTCCATTTGTTCCTTTGCTTATTCGTTATTAAGGAATCACCCAACTTCGTTTTGCTATCATTTTTGAAGGGATTATCGGATGCAGCTAATATTTTACAGTGATTTTGAAACATTGAGTTGAATTTCAGACAAATTAAACTTTAGCGATGAAATCGTGCCTTCAAAGTATCATATGACTGTTATTAGACTATATCTAGTGTTCTCAGTCGAAAGAATTAGTTTTTTCAGTGCAGATGAACAGGAATTTCTGAGTCTCAGATTCGGAAAATATAGGTTTTCTAAGTTAAATACGGAAATAAGAAAGTGAAATGCGATAAGAAACTTGAAATGCGTGTCTGTGCTGGATGTCGGACAATAGGAGCATCAGATACAAATGCATCTGGAGCCACACATGAAAATGTAGAGAAGGCATTCCACCGGCACGAGTATGGTACACCTTATACGAGTATGGCATACATTTGTCTTTCCTTATGTCTAAGATGCTTTTCTTTTGGAATTAAAAACCCCATAGCGAGCTGAGAAACTCCTCATTCATTGTGGGGGGGCGGATTAAGCCTCGAGTAATGCCACTTTCTGTTTAACGGTTTAACCACTTATCAACAACAGTACGAGGTACTTGCAGTAGCTGAAGTTTTGCCTGTAAAGCTTTCTAATCGATACTTTTTATGCGGAAAAAATTAAAAAATTCGAGACAGTAATGAGAAAGCCATTAGCGGAAATTGGTGGGAATGACCCATTGGCGAAAATATCGGCTCCTGACCGGAGGTCATATGCAATCTTGGTCTTATCTCAGTCTCCTATGCTAAGGTACGAGTGGACTACTAACTTGCTAAGCATCCAATTCACTACTAACCTGGCTAAGCATCCAATTCATAAAGATGGTCCAATTTAATGATCCTCTAAAGCGAAGCATCTTGCTAAAGTAGATTGCTCGACACTAAATCAGGATTCCTCATCGCATAAAGACTTGACGGTACAGACCTCATTTACGAGTGATTACCTTCTATAGGATATTCTGACCTATGTCAAGTTCTCGTGCAGAAGTTTTTCATGAAAGGACCAACTTGCATGACTGGTACAAATGAGTCATGAGTACATGACTCAAGTTTGCGCCACTTGGCAGTGCTTTACAAAGGAATATTTTCGAACTGTCCTAAGTGACAGCATGGGCATTTTCAGAACCGTCTGCAGTTTCAGAACTGTCGTGGGACAGTGGAGAAAGGGTTGCACATACTCCAAGAGATCAAAACTTCGTAATTTTGCGACGCTGAGTTCAGCGTCGCAATAGACGTATGATGGCCTCAGTGGGTTCCCAAGTGTGAGCAGTGAGGCTCTGCAGATTCACACACCAACAGTGAATGAGCCAGACTACATGGATCACCAGGGACATCATTCGATAGACTCCATGCGTTCCATGCTTACATACGAGATCACACGGATATCTGCCCAGCAAACAATTTGAAACACATAACGTCGAATCAACATTGAATAAACGTTCGGAATGTTGATGCAACGTTGGTCCGAAGTAGCCTTGTTTGCTGGGTGCACCTGTCAGATAGTGCTCACTATTTAGTGCTCACTATTTCTGTGTACTTGAAGATCAATGCTGCCAGTGGTCGCTAGAGATGATGAGTCATCTTCAATCGTATCCTGGTATAACTAGGAGAGCGGGACGGTTTTGGAGGCGTACAGCCGCCAGCTACGGTTAGATGGGGTAACTTTCCCAATTTACGTATTTAGCTCTTCGAGTTAGAAATTCGAATTAAAGAAGTTCGAGTTATGGAGAGTTGACTGTATCTTTCGGTTTAACCAGTGAAATTTGACTGAAGGCTGGATTGGCATGAGAGAGTACTTGATGCCTTTGTGTTTGGCATATCTCACCAATCGGTCCCAAAAGGAGGACTGATCACACGCACTCCATGACCACACTTACTCCGAATGACCTTGCATAAAGGAGTCTTTCTCTCATCGTCTAGTACAGTGGTTCTCAACCTTTTTTTTGGCACACAGGTTGAGAACCACTGGTCTAATTCCAATTCCTCTCATCATCGGAATCGTTTGTTTCGTTTGAGAAGGGGAATCAACGTGTCTTCTCGTAGGATGTAGAATCATAAATAATAATATATTTTTTTCATAGTGATGGTATTAGGCATGTTTTAAATGTACATATTGAATAAGGCCTCTGAACCCATCCGGATATGACCCAGTCTTGATGCTATAATTGCCAACATAAGGGTTATTAAGCAATATTATTTACATTATACATGATATACAGGGTGGCGCAAAAAAAAAGGTCCACTTTTTAAACTGGTCTAGAACAGGAACTATTGAAGCTAGCAGGTTAAAAAAAAAAGCAAATGAAAGTTCAATCCAAGCCCTTTCCAAAGATGTATGGTTTTATGTCCATGGGTGCCATGGAATGGCTGTCATGGCCAATTGAAAAAATCATGTCCCAAAAAAAGTAGTAAAATGATGGGAAAATGATTGTTCCACCTCAACTAACCTTTATTTATGCAAGAAATGTTCAATGTGTCTTCCTTTCTGGTCCACCACTGCTTGCAGTCTCTCTCTCCACATCAAAATTGCCTTGGCAATCTTACAACAATTGGACTTTTAGTCCAATTGTTTCACCCAACACATGAGCAAATAAACATTTAGAAACAGGGTAAGTGTAAGCTGTAAGTAAGTAAGCGTATGTACAGCTTCAATAGTTCTGTTCTAGACCAGTTTAAAAAGTGGACCGGTTTTTTTGCGCCACCCTGTATATGTGTGTATTGACTCAGCCTATCAGTCTTTCAACATTGCAATTTCAGCATCGTTGCAACACGACGGATATAAAAATTTAAATACTTTTGTCGTCGAGTCAACAAACAATTGTGCAAACTAGCTTAATGAGTTCTGCAGCAATCTTTTCTCAATGTTCTCTCTCAAACGACTGCTGAATCTTGTTTCCGTGTTACCTTTTCAAAGTATAGTTTCCTGAATCTGAAGCAGAATTTAAAGAAATGACTGCGTTTGCATGATAGCCTTCCCACAGTAAAGGTTCGTGAGGAATTAAACTACATATTCAGTAGTTGCAAGTCAGATGCCCGAAATGATCGCAAAGATGTAGCGATATGCGTAGATTTT